GCTTCATCAAAAGCTCTATAATCAATGTTATAAAAGTCGCTTCTACTTTCATCAGACATTTCTGCTGATCCCGTCCCGCTCTAAACTAGCTTTTGTCCCTCGGCTCTTGCAGGTGGAGACGCGGTAAATAATAGATGAGATTCTGGCCAGTTCATTAGACGGACGTCGGCTCTTCTTCTGAGTTTGCTTTGCTGAACTTGTTTAAGGCTGACTTTCAGCTTTCTTTAATCATGTTAGTCGGTAATACATTTCTTTCATTTTTCATTGAGTGGATGTGATGTACAGATCAAATATTTACATGAATTACACACATGATACAGTTCAAAAGTTTGGGATTTTTTATTGTCTTTAAAAGAAGTCTCTTTTGCTCACCAAGGCTGCATTTATTTGATCATAATTACAATAAAAACAGAAAAATTGTGAAATATTATTACAATTTAAAAGAGCTGTTTTTTATGTGAATATATTTTAAACTGTAATTTATTTCTGTGATCAAAGCTGAATTTCCAGCATCATTACTCCAGTCTTCAGTGTCACATGATTCTTCAGAAATCATTCTAAGATGCTGATTTGCTGCTCAAGAAACATTTCTGATTATTATCAATGTTGAAAACAGTTGTGCTGCTGAATATTTTTGTGGAAACTGTGATACATTTTATTTTTCAGGATTATTTGATGAATAGAAAGTTCAAAAGAACAGCATTTATTTGAAATAAAAATCTTTTGTTACATTATAAATGTCTTTACCGTCACTTTCAATCAATAAAATGAATACAATTAATATAATAATTAATATTATGTAATTACTTTATATTACTATTATTAATGTTACTGACCCCAAATTTTTAAACCTAAAAATAGTGGAGATTCTGGAAGAAAATGAGAATTTTCCAACTTCATGGTTTGATGTAGGTCACTGTAGGTCACTAATAAAGCATTCCAGTCATTATTTAGTCTGTTTCTGGTATTGCTGCAGGTGTTATATTATGATGAAACGGTCATTTAAATGAGTGTCAGAGCGCCGCTCGTCTGCCCTCATCAACGACCCCTGATTAACCCTAATCACTTTGTTCGTTTGGAGGAACCGTTTTGTCCTCTCCGGTCAGAAAAAGTGCAGTGAACCTCCAACTTTTGCTTTATTCATCGTGACAGCTGAGCAGAGATGGAGCTTATTCAGAATGAGACTATTACTCTTTAATGAGGGCCGTATAAGAGGTCGTTAGGATGGGTAATTCAGTTTTAATCGAAAACGGGAAAAAAACGTAAGAATTTACAACAGTGGCGATAGCAGACAAACGCTTGAGGTGTTTGACCAATTGGACATAATCTCGGGTTTTGTATGTTTAGTTGTTGTTGGCCATCAAACATTTGTGATAAAACATTATTTTTTTATATATTGAGTATATGTTTGTATGTTTATATATATTTATTTATGGAAAAATTACCTAATATATTTTATATGTACAGGTGTATCTCAATAAATTAGAATGTCGTGGAAAAGTTAATTTATTTCAGTAATTCAACTCAAATTGTGAAACTCGTGTATTAAATAAATTCAATGCACACAGACTGAAGTAGTTTAAGTCTTTGGTTCTTTTAATTGTGATGATTTTGGCTCACATTTAACAAAAACCCACCAACAAATTAGAATACTTCATAAGACCAATAAAAAAAAACATTTTTAGTGAATTGTTGACCTTCTGGAAAGTATGTTCATTTACTGTACATGTACTCAATAAGTGGTAGGGGCTCCTTTTGCTTTAATTACGGCCTCAATTCGGCGTGGCATGGAGGGGATCAGTTTGTGGCACTGCTGAGGTGGTATAGAAGCCCAGGTTTCTTTGACAGTGGCCTTCAGCTCATCTGCATTTTTTGGTCTCTTGTTTCTCATTTTCCTCTTGACAATACCCCATAGATTCTCCATGGGGTTCAGGTCTGGTGAGTTTGCTGGCCAGTCAAGCACACCAACACCATGGTCATTTAACCAACTTTTGGTGCTTTTGGCAGTGTGGGCAGGTACCAAATCCTGCTGGAAAATGAAATCAGCATCTTCAAAAAACTGGTCAGCAGAAGGAAGCATGAAGTGCTCCAAAATGTCTTGGTAAACGGGTGCAGTGACGTTGGTTTTCAAAAAACACAATGGACCAACACCAGCAGATGACATTGCACCCCAAATCATCACAGACTGTGGAAACTTAACACTGGACTTCCAGACATTCGACAGCCATAATTACTGACGTTAACACACAGGGAAAATATGTAATGGATGCCTCGCAGATACAAAAATAATGTTTTATGTTTTGATTAAAAGATAGTTAACATTAAACGCCAGCGAAACCCTGAGAATTCACAACATTTTTTACAATAGTGCTCTCATTATAACTTTATGTATATGACGGTATTTATTAATGTTCTGCATTTCTGTTTCAAGCTACGCACGCTGAAGATGACCAGTAGAATGAAGCAGCAGGTTTTTAATCAATGGGATTTAACTCATCATTTATCTCATATAGAATACGCTTCGTTATTTATGCAACATAACATTAATATTAGGACTTATCTGCACAAAATGCCCCGAATGCACATGAACATGTCTGCGCGGCTCTGAAGGAAACTCCTTTTGTGGATGCATTCTTCACGCAACAATGTGCAAAAACACGGCAACTAAACTCAAAAAATTCACAGCATTTTATCATAATAGTGTTCTCATTATAATGTTATGTATATGACAGTCCCAGTCATAATTATTAATATTTTGCATTGTTGTTTGTACTGCTCGCACTGAGCGCTGAAGAGATAATCACCGTAATACTACAATGAAGCGCTTTACTGCAGCGCAGCTCAACCAAATGCATCCTATATGACATAAATAATATAGGCTATACACAATATATATAAATCGGCTTAAATGTTTTGAAATCACTTGTACCCTACCTAATCGAAAAAAATCCAGTCTTTTACTGTGCCTGTCAGTTTTAAATCAAAATGGCATGATCATAACACCTCAGCGAATATTCGACTGTGAGATTGGGAGTCGAATCAGGCTCCTCCTATCGAAGCATCGAACCTTCGACTATTCGGGGTCACCCCTACAGTATATAGTAATTTTTTGTTTAGTTTATTTATTATTTACATATATATGTAATTAATAAATGTGTTGATGTATATAATTATATTCAAGAAATTACAAGAAGTTGTGTGTTATATTATTTTTGTGTTGTGTACATATATGTACAGTATATGTATGCATGTGTATATATTATTATGT